AATGTGCAGTCTCCTAATATTTACCTGAAAACAACTGAGCTAATATTTAAAAAAGACCTGTGTGACCCAAATAAAAAATGTCTGTTGACCAAATCTAGAATACTGAATACCCAAATGAAATCTGTGATGGTTAGATAATGTAAGAGTTTTAAAATTTGGATACCAAAAACAATTGATAGATATCCCTGCTTTACCATTTTGAAAATAAAAGTACCTATTAATTGGGGTATTTAAATACTTGGTTATTTTCATATTATATACATTCTTCATTTGTATAGGTATATCTTCTCAGAGGAAATAGACAAATAACATTAGTGTCCTAATAAAATACTAGAGAACTTTTAAGTTCGGTTATTTTGGTCTTTAGTTTGTTTTGAGGTACCTGGCATTTTAGCTTACATAAGCCATAAAATAGTATAAAGTACTCTCATTTATGATATAAAAGTCATACCATAGACAACATCCACTTAATATCTTATTATGTTTTACTAAATACAAACATCCTTATCAATTTACAATTTAAGTTAGAAAATTGCTCTAGTATAAATTAGACAATAAATATTCATTAGCAGCTTATTATATATCTAGTACTCTATTGTGTTATATAGACTATTTTAGAAAAATAGTCTCATAAGGAGTTTATAGTTGTCACCTATAATTCAGTAAAAGGTGGATACCAATCAAAATTATATAGAAACTATGTAGACCATAAAATAGACTTAAGGTTATGTATAGATACATGCAAACATGTACACGTATCTGTAGAGTAACAGATAGATCATTATGGAGATCAATAGGGAAAGCAATGAGTATTTCATTGCTTATGCATATTAATGGAGTGATAGATTATATAATTTAGACCATCAGAGATATTGCTTCCCCACTGAACCCTTCCCTCAACTTAAATCTCTCACTTTACACTGCCTTTTTAAAAAAATGTATCTGTTGTTGATAGTATTACAGATGTCTCCCCTTTTTTCACTTCTTACCTCATCCACCCACTCCCACACCACCCCAGGCTTTCACCACACTATTGTCTGTGTCCCTGGGGAATACATATTGCATATAAATTATTTGGTTTATCTCTTTCTGCCCCTCCTCCTCGCCCCTGAGATTTGTCAGTCTGTTCTGTGCTTCCACATCTCTGGATCTATTTTGTTCCTCAGTTTATTTTGTTTGTTAGATTCCACATATAAGTGAGATCATGTGATATTTTGTCTTTGCCTGGTGTATTTTGCTTAGCATAATAATCTCCAGTTTCCTCCATGCTGTCTCAAAGGGTAAGAGTTCCTACTTTTTTACAGCTACATAGTATTCTATTCTGAAAACGTACCACAGCTTTTTTATCCACTCATCTACTGATGGACACTTGGGCTATTTCCAGGTCTTAGCTATTGTAAATAGCGCTGCTATGAACATAGGGGTGCATATATTCTTTCTGATTGATGTTTCATGATTCTTAGAATATATTATAAGAAGTGGGATCACTGGATCAAACAGCAGTTCCATTTTAAATTTTTTCCACAATGGCGGCACCAGTCCGCATTCCCACTACCAGTATACTAGGGTTCCTTTTTCTCCACATCCTTGCCAGCTCTTGCTGTTTGTTGATTTGCTAATGGTTGCCATTCTGGCAGGTGTGAGGTCAGACCTCATTGTATTAATTTGCATCACTCTGATGATTAGTGACTTTGAGCATTTTTTCCAATTTATTTACAAAGTGGTTCCCTAGGTTACATGGTGTTTTAGGTAATTAAGTCCTTGAAATCACATCTCTGCTCACCATACAACCAAGCCCAGCATATTTCCTGTATCTTGTTGTTTTCAGCAGAGATACATCATAACAAATACATTCACACTTGGGCATATCACCCATTGTCACTCCCAGGGTGGCTTTCCAACCCATATTCATTCATACCCTATCTATTCACACAGTATACTATACATTCAGTCCCTTTTATCATGCATACCTTATCTATTCACATGCATACTTTGACCCTTGGCTGGCTAGGCCAAGAGAATGCATACCTAAAGGTTACATTTTGTTCACCAAACCCCCAACCCTACAAAACCCACAGCAAGAATCTTTTGTTCAGGGCTCCCTCAGGGAGAGACAATGCCCTTTTTCTGCACTGATACTTCTGACCTTTGTGTAGTGCCATTCCTTAGGGAAAAATGGGATATTGATGGAGCTCGCACCTTCTTTCTGGCCTCCTGCTTATGCTATTGCTATAAGTGAATTAAAAAAATCTTAATAATTTTTCTCATTTTGACTTGTTTAAATTGACCACTCTGACATCTGGCAGCTCATTTCTCTCCAGCTCAGCTCTTGACAGTAGCTTTTCAATATGCTGTAATGGAAATAGCTTCTAAAAATCATCCAAAGACTGATGTTCAGACCCAATACAATGTTCTGCTTGCATATTGTCTTATTATTTATTATCTTTCTGATTCATTCAAGATGCTTATAAACTCCCTCTGCCCATCCCTGAAAAGTCTTACCATTTTGAACTCACTACCTAGAAAGGCCATGATGATTGGAGTCCGTTGTTTTGAAGTTTGGCTCTGCTTTTTATCTCATATTGAAATAAGTCATAAAGAATCTATGGGCCCTACTTCCCTCATCTTTATTATAATAGGGTATAACATTACTAATGTTAATACTTCAAAAGAATGTTTTGAGGGTTAAATATAACATGATTGTTGTAACCCTTTTTGGAAATTCTACAAAGTCACAACTTTTTACTAGATTTTTATTTCTACTTCAATGACTGTTTTTTTTCTTATTGCTTTCTTTCCTCTTTACATTTCATTACACTAGAAGCTCTCTCCAAAATAAATCTTTAGGCTTTCCTCAGTTTCCTCTCCAGTTCTAATGAATGCAGTATTTTATTTGAATATTTTAAAATGATGTATTTCAGTAAAAATGGTCAAAGTGGACAATCTAGATTTAAGGACCATTGCAATGGGGAAATTGACTCTACTAAACTCTACTAAAGCTATTTGTTTTAATATTACTAAAGTTTTTTTTAAATTTACTTATCCTTTTCATAAAATATCATTTTACAAACAAAATTTTATATATACTTTTTTCTTTTTTCTCCATGTCTTTTTTCCTCTCCTTAGTGTTTTTCTCTGTCCTTTCTTTACAGCTGCCGCACAAAATGTCTGATTATGAGCAACATGGCTTTCAGAGATGCTCATCCTCTTTCTGGCGTACTAGTGATGACTCATCTCCCTGTCTAAATATTTCTTCCATTACTGTCACTCCTGTTAACTCGACTGATTCCAGACTATCACTGGGAATAATACCACCACCTTCTTCTAAATGTGGCCTTCCCAAGCCAGTCAGTGAGAGCAGCATCCCAAGACCTCATGTAACTTTCTAAACAGAAAATTCTTTTTATTATCCCACCTATTTTCTTTAATTCTGCCAAAATGTGCTATTTATAGAGTAGTGAAAAAACAGGTATGTCTTGAAAAATGTGACGTGACCTGAGGCCCTGTATGCCATTTTTGCTTCCTTTGGTTACCTGATATCAGAAAGTTCCACGTGGAGAGTGTTGGTGGTGTGCTAACCCACAGGAAGGTAAAGTAGAACAGTACTTCAAAGGGTCCTTAGATACGGCAGTTGGGAAATGAGGTCATTGGTGATATTGGTAAAAGTAGCTTCAGGCGAGTTCAGTGCGTAGACAGCAAAGTCTAGATTGATATGAGTTGAGGACTGAATGAAGTAAAAGTTAAGGCAGGAAATGTAGTCCCTTTTTCAAGGAGCTTAGCCTTGAAGGGAAGAGAGAGGTGAGAGGTTAGAAGAATAAAGAGTGAAGACATTTTTTTTTTTAAACTACAGTTGAGATTTGAGTATCTTTATGTTCTGAGAAGGATGAGAGGGGTGGAAGCCAGGAGAGACAGAGGGATGGATGAGTAGGAGAACGATACTCCTGGCTGGGAAGAAAGTGCTGAGGGATAACGTTGCCTGGAAGTCTTTGGATAGTATTTATGTTAAAGTGAGCAGGTTGTTTTAAGAAGAGGAAGATGACAACAGTTTTCCTGCAAGAAAACATGTACTAACAGTCATGTTAGTGGCAAATCTGTCCTTCTTTACACATAAGTAGCCTAATTATTTTTCATTGTTTTCATCTTTAAATAACAAAAACAAATGTATTCTGAGAACTGTAATCTTAATATGAACTACTCAAAGCAATCTCTGTTCATGTTCTTATAGGTAAAGCAAATTTTTCTCACTATCCTTCTTCAGTATGGGAATTCATTTCTATTTTATTTTTTTATGGATTGTGTGTGTGTGTGTGTGTGTGTGTGTGGTCCCCTGAATGACAAAGTGATGATTATTTTATTCTTACATTATGTCCCACCCAGACAACAATGATTTTGGTGGTATATTTAGTGATTATTAATTTATTTCACAAGGTAGGTATTTATTATAGAAAAGTTGATGAAATCTTATTCAGAATAAAAGGCACTGCAATGAATTTAATAGTTGGTTGACACTGTAGTTAAAAATACAAATTAAACATACCCTTTAAAATTTTTTAAACTTGTTATCAGTTGCATTTGTATAGTTATATTTAAGAAGGTACATCACTTATGTTCAGTTGTTTTTGTTTAAAACTTACAATATTATGCAAAACATATTACTGAAATCATGTTTTATATAGTTTCTAACATCTTAGAATCTCTGATAGAAATGGCAGTTATTTCCAGATATGTAAATAATGCAATACATTTTTTATATCTATCTAGCATAGTATTCTCACTATGTTTGACATCATCTTTCAGAACATTTTTGCAGAAATTTTCTATTGCTTTTTACCAGTGAGCATTTAGCATACATATTCGAACCATATAACATTTCCAATATTTAACTATTTTTGATTCAACTGAATGTGTTGCTTATATATGTTTTATCTGTATTTGAAATATTCAGCATTACAGTGTGTCTACATGAAGTACTGCCCTAACTTCTGTTATTGTCATTTCAGGCAGGCAGTGTGTCACCTAAGTCACCCTCCACTGACATCTTTGATATGATTCCATTTTCTCCAACATCACACCAGTCTTCAGTACCTACTCCCAATGGCACACAGCCACCTCCAGTTCCTAGTAGATCTACTGAAATTAGTAAGCTTTCTAAACAATCAGCGTTCCTTACTGCATTTGTGTACATTGTAAATGGCTGATTGATATCTCGTGTGAAATTTTATATCTTAACAAGTTCACTAAACTCATTAATTACCAAAATATTATGTTTACATAGATGTACCACATTCAGTTAACCATATTTTACTTTATAATTAAGAATATTCTACTAAAGACATTATTACTTGCATTTAAAATTATTTTATGAAAATATTTTGGTATAGGGTTATTTGAATGATAATACAAAGCACTTAATTATATTTTATTGTGTTTGGGGTTATATATTTAATGTTTTAATTTAATTATTAAAAACAACTCTGATGGTAATTATTTTAATGATTTTTGACATGTTTAATGGTGCTCAGTTTAAATTTTGGGTTATCATGTGGTGTGTATGGCAGATCTTAGTTGAAGAAATATATAAATCTATGGATTCCATTTTTTATTTATTAATCTTATATAAACATTCTTTTATTGATATTTAAAATGTTAGAAATTTACTGTTCTTCTGATTTACCTTCTGTGTATCTAGAAGGAACATAAAAGTCTCTTTTTAATGAATTTAGAAAGTATCTAACACATGCTCATTGTCAATGTCATGAGTGTATTTTGATCTGTGCCCTGTCACAGAAACTGAAAGAATAGTTCCCAGTGGTCATGTCAGTCATCATGTCCAAAGATAAACTGAGAAAAAGATAATTTTACATAATATGCTTTATTGCATCCTTTATTGGTTCACATTGAGACGTTTTCTATATAACTGAATTTATAGCTTAAGGCTTTAAAGCATGTCAGGGCCTATAGTTGATTTGTTTTCCCTTGTGAAATTTAAAGTATAATGCACATGTTAGGCATTCATTAAATTTTACAAGCTAATTTGTAAATACAAAGTAATAACATTAGGAACTTTAAAATCAGTTTATGGGAATACTCACTACTTTGCATAAATCGTATCCCCCTGAATATATTTTGTGCCAATGCAAAATAAATCTATAATTCACACATCAAGTGTTTTTAGAAAATGTTGCTAATATCCTGATATTGTAATGGGGTATTTTTGTCTTTGTAAGTGTCCCACATCTCTACTTTACTGTTGTTTTTACTTCCTTGGACTTCATCATTAATTTATTCATTCAGTTGTTTAATTCAATGGGCATTTGTTTAGCATAGACACTAAACTTGGGTTGCATGCTGGAATTTGAAATATAAATTAGCGACATATCCACAATGGAGAATTTTAATCCAAGTCAAAATATAAACTGAGAACAGTAAATATATTTTACGATATTTAGAAGAAATAATCTATCAGGATGATGATTGAGAGTTCAAAATCATATATGTTTCAGGATTTTAGACCGAATGTTGTTAATGGGGGAAAGCTAGAGGTAGAGAAGGCATAAATAGTGAGTTCTGTTTTAGATGTCAATGAGTTTGAAATGGTCCAGTGGTTTTATGGAATTTATTAATGAAAAATTAAAGTTAACACCTTGCTGCATTTTAAATATCTACCTATCCTGAGTGTCAGAGTTTAAGAAATATAGCAATATGTCAATAGATAGGAAAACTACATAGATAGATAAATGATTGATAGATAGATGATAGATAGATAGATAGATAGATAGATAGATAGATAGATAGATAGATAGATATGGAGTCCTGGTTACCTTTGTACTATCCATACTAACAATTTAAGGACAAGTTGTTCAACTCAATTTTAATTGTGTAATTGTCTAAAACTCTAATCCAATGGGGTTTTAATAATAGGACTTTGCTTTAAATGAAATCTTAAATGTATTCATTCATTTATTTTTCATTATCTACTAAAGCAGAAACCTATAAGATGTATCCTGAATTTCTCTCCTTACTACGTGAGAACCCTACCAATTCTTCAGAACATATTTTTGATCTTTGAATATGTATCAGACTTTAATTAATTTGTTTAATACTGTGTTCCCTGATTGACTATAAATTTCATGAGGGAAAGGACTTGGTCTTTTTTTCATGACTTTACTCCTAGCAAAAGTTACCTAGCAAAATTCATGGCACATAATATGTGTTCAATAAATATTTAGTGGATAAAGGAAAGAATTACTGAGTGAAACATTACCTATTAGTTTTTATTATTTTACTCTTGCATTAGACTTAAATAATTTTAATGTTATTAATTACATAGCAGACCATTTTTTTTCACTAGACATTGACTTATGTGATATTTTGTTATGAATTTTAGTTTTATTTGAGCTGATCAAATTATGCCATAAAGCTCTGTAATGTTTAGTAACTTACATGATATTTATATATTAATATGTAAAGTAGTAGTTTCTTAAGTTGTGGGGGAGTAATGAACCCTTGAGAATATGATAAAAGTTATGAAAACTCTTTACAGAAAAAACAGAACATGCCCACTTATACAAAACTTCATAATGCATTTCAGAATGTCAAAGATCCCTTGAAGCCCATCTGAAGTTTGGTAATTTTGAATCCTCACTTTAGAAAATCTATGTAATGAAAATATCTGTTCCTCTGATAAGCTTTTCTTTCTCTTTATTATTTCCTTTTTTTTTTTTTTTTTGTCATTTTACCAACATCTACTATGTATAAAAGTATTGTTCACTGTGCTTGTAGAATAGTGGTAACCAGGATACTCCTCTAAAAAAGTTCCTCTGTTCTCTAAATTCCTGATTATTGCTTGAGAAACATCAGACTGAGGAAATACATTGTAAAAACAATAATAATACCCAAAAGTTATATGTAAGGTGGCAACACATTCCATTTGTTTAGGACAGTCCTGGCTTATTCCTTTGGTTCTGGTATAACTATTGGTAATACTCCTTTCACTCGTAAAAGTATATTTGGATGATAAATTATATGTTCCTCTTATTCACATATTACTTACCAGAACCAGAAACTTCTAAGCATTTTACATTTATTAAGTTATTAAATATATGAATCTGACCCCCCAAAAGTTATAGCTGGAGAAGCAAGAATAATGGGAGTGAATGAGTGATACAAAGGATATGGTGGAACTCAAGCAGCACAAATATTATTTCTTACATAACATTGAAGTTAGAGAATATAGTTATAGTTACCTGGAAAATGAAAGTCTTATTACATTATAAATTCCCATGCCTATATATTTTAAATTCTTTTTTAGTCAATTAGGGTTTTATTTGAACTGATTCAGAGGAAAGACATTTCTTAACCGTTTAAAATTTTTTTTCGATTGTATAATAGCCTTATTGGTCACAGCCATTGATTTCAACTTGGATTCTTCTTTCGTGATAAAAAAATGTATAATTTAAAATATATCTACAAAGAGCTTTTTTGATACTGGGATGAGAGGCATTTTAAAACAACCTCATTGTGGTTTCTAGGAATATGACATAATTTTAAACTACATGAGATGATATTCCTTAATTTTTTTCTGAGATTCATATGTAAACTATGAGTAAAACTACCTACTAATCTAGTCAGTCCTACATATTGCTTCACCATTGTGTTGCAGTGATCAGTAAATGGAATAGGGAAGTCTCAGTGAGTAGTGCATTCATTTTAGTACATTTAAATTGCTTTAGTAAAATGTAGGTATTGGATTATACTGTTTATCAAATATTTGGTAATTTTGATATTAAAAAGCCTTAAAGACACACTATAAAACGTATCTTTGCGTCCTTGTTGGTATTTAACTAGTCTGAGCCCAGGAAAGCCCAGCATAAAGTGTAAGTGTGGATAGTGACTCATTTGGTTATGTAAGCAATTCTTTATATAATTCTGCCTTGGAAATCTAAAACACCCTAACTCACTTCTTGCTTTTCATACACTAAATTATTTTTTTCTGTTTAGAGCGAGACCTGTTTGGAGCAGAGCCTTTTGACCCATTTAATTGTGGAGCAGGGGATTTCCCTCCAGATATTCAATCAAAATTAGATGAAATGCAGGTGACTATTTAACAGATTCACCCATTAGTGTTTTTTTCTTTTTAATGTGTGATTCTAGATACCAAAGCTACCATTTTCTTGAATTATTATTACTATAAAAACTTACTTAAAATAATTAATTAAAAATAATAATATACATTTGGTCCTAAAAATATTTCTACAGATGCTAAGGATAAGGTTTGGTTTGGTTTTATTCTTAATGGTGCAATTTACAAGGCAATAAGATGGTTCATGTTTTTATATAAAATTACATGGATTCTAATGGTTCATTATTTTGAAATCCAAGAATTAAAAGGTCATTACACTAGATTTATAAGATTCTATCTCAGTCTTAACAATTATGAATTTCAAAATTGTGAATGGGTAGATGAAGGAAAATCTTTGTAAGACTAAAATTAGTCTCTCTTAAAAGAAGCATTGTAGCTGTAGTTCATAACTTTGGAGCTCTTATTTAAAAATCAGACACCCAGTGACAAGTGTTTTAGGAATGTAGTTTAGCTGGCTTTTCATTATTTCTCTCCTTTTTATTTTCAATTCTGAATTGTTATAGAAGTTTGAAGATACTGGTTTTAAGAGCTCTATAGAATGGGCCATGATTAATAAATGTTCTCATATATACTAAAGTCTTCTCTTTATATTTTCACTTTACATTTTGGTGAAGTTATTATATATTAGTTTTTAGCAAAGACATATCCTTGAAGCTTTGATACAAATACTAATTCAAAATCATAAATTAAATAAAAGCAAAATTACAACACCTAATAAAAATTAAGAACTTTAATATAATAGGATGAATGATGATATTTGGCTGAAACTAAAATCACCAATATCAAACTTCTGTTGATTTTAGCATGTATTCTGTTTGATGGCAATTTCCCCATCTCTTTGCTATATTTCAAATACTCTGAAATTTTCACTCAAATAATACTTGATAATTTATCAGGAATGCTTTATTTCTTTCATATGAAATAGTTGCTATGCTTTTGTAAGGACAAATACAAATATGGGCACTGATGTGGTAGTATTTGTTCTCAAGTGTTATACAAACCATAAAGAATATTTTCTATTAATTTCTTTTTTCGATTTTCACAAAATTGAAAAGTTTTCTATATATTTTTGAAGACAAGCCTACAACTTTAGAAGTTTTATAGAAACTCACTTTAAGAAACACTGTATTAGAATGATTTCATGATGTGTTAGTCAAATAATGTTAAGCTGTGGTATTTTTGCTTTTATTTTCATTTTTGCCATTTCTAATATTTTCTCAATGTCTCTTTTATTCTTTTCTGCTTTCATGGTGGGTAGCGCCAGAGATGGTTGGTATATTATTTTCATAATAATTTTAACAGCTTACAACTTTTTAAAGCTAAAACCGTAATATTTGCATGCTTTATTTAATAAATACTCAAACAGCAGTTTCATATGGATGTGTCTGATTTTTAGCTATGCTTAAAGAGATTGTATAACCCATATTTTAAAGTACTTTTTCCATCGATTTTATCACCATTGCATTGTCCATCTCATTCTTGTTTGTTCCTTTGAGTCCAGAATTTATTGCAAGGTCATTGCAACTAAAGTAAAGTAACATTTTCACCTAAAGTCTATGATGACTTTTATTATTCATCTTGTTAGCCTAATTAACCTAATGCACACATTTAGCTACTATTTTTATCTTTGTATATAACATAAAAAATATATACAGTGGAATGGGTTGTATAAACCATTATATTCAGTTAATAAGCCAACTGAAGTATTTGGTTTTCCTTTTTTATGTACAGAGGAAATCACTAATACATCTCATACTTGTACTTAAATCAGAAATGTTAAGCCATATTTCACTATAAATTATTGAAAATTAGATATTTATTTTAAATCAATAACTAAGTTTTTGCATTTAATATAATCTAAACTTCTGGGTACATGTCATCGAAAGGCAAATCAATATGATAGTATTGATAGCCCAGAAGTAAGTACACTCTGTAAGTTATAATAACTTTATACATTAAAAAAGAAGCATGACATGTCAGTGAACGGTGAAAGATTTATGCATTAAGTGATGTGAAGTCAACTAGTTAATAATTTTGGAGCATCAGTGTATAGCAGAAATAGCCAATATTCAAATAAATTTTGTAAGCATTAGACAGATTGAAATGTTTAAAATATAAGTAAATATTTAGTAGAGTTTTTACTTGGAGATAAATTTTTAGAAGGGTCTATAGAAGAATTCTATAGTTTTTAAAATTTTCTCTTTAAAAATACAACTATATCACATATACATAATTAAAGTAAGTGGACAAATATTAAGAAACTAAACAATCAACAGATGAATTTAAAAATAAAGCACAGTAATTTACAAAATACAAACCCCAAGTGTCTGGTAAACACGTAGAGATGTTCAGTCTAATCTGAGAAAACATATAAATTAAGTAAAGAACTATAAATGCAATCTAGCAAATTATAAATATTTTTTTCTTACTGATAATCAGTGATTTTGCAAATGTGATGAAGCAAAAGCACTTTACATCATTGCAGGACCAGGGTCGGTCCATAGTGTTCCTCTGGAGGCTAATTTGTTAATTACTTATATTTGTATTTTTTATAAAATTAATACAATCTATTCTGATGAAAAATAATTATAAATATGAAAAATAATTCAGTATACAGTATTGGTAATTATAAAATATGAGAAACAATGAAATCATATTAAAAATAATAGAATGTTATATAGTCATTAAATTAGTTTAATGGGGACTCAAAATAACAATAGAAAGTTTGTTCTGCTATGATTAAAATATACAGAATACTTTCAACAATAAAGATAACTTAAAAATATATAGAAAATTCTGTATAATATATTTAATATAATAAATAGAAAGTTATATGTAATATAAACCTGACTTTATATTATTATCAAAATTGTTTTTAAAATCTATAGGTAGAAAGAAAGACTCAAATGACCTACCTCAGCATGTTCACAATTTTTGTATATGAGTGGTTTTTTTCTTCCTTGATACATTTTCCTCTCTATTTCAAAAGAAAAAAGAAAGGAAAAGAAAATTTATCTGGGCAAGTATTTCATACAGAAAACATATTAATAATATATTAATAATAAAATAATTGTATATGATGTTAGTGTATGATAATTTTCACCACCACGTAAATTAAATAAAGCTTCATTTTGATTCAGAAGTTAAAAATTCTAGAGGATGTGCAAATCCTAGACAAATTCAGAGTCTGTTAAATTATGATTTACAAAATGAGACCTAGAAGGGAAGGTGAGAAAATGTGTGGGAAATTTTATGGTAGGAGAAAAATATCCAAGGAGCCATGTCTGTTAATCCGGATGATTAATCTAGGGGGACGTCTAATGGATCCTTATAAAATATCACCATCTTTCAAGTGATAAACTTTTTTATTATTATTATTGAAGTAATGATTGAGTTTTATTTTACTTTGATTGCTATTCATCCTTTCAAATACTGATAACACAATGATAAATAGTATTTTCAGGGTCATTGAAGTGATACTGGTTTAATTTCAGAGTGAACTGGCAAAATTTAAAAAACACTGTATGGTATCAAACCTTTTCAAATGCAATGTATATTCTAGCTGTCTGTCTGTCTATGTACCTACCTACCTACCTATCATCTGCTCACTGTCCATCTGGTTATCTATCTATCTACTATGTGACATAGTACATATATCTTCAGATATCCAAATACAATATCTTTAAAAACAGGTTATTTACAGTATGTTCAGCTTGAAGTATTGATTTTTCTAAATATTTGGCAGCATAAATATGCTAAAATATTCATGTGGTAAGGAAAAACTTTGAAAAAAATAATGGTAAGTACTCCGACTTTTGCTCAACTAAATATAATTTGTATTCCAAGTACTGGGAAGAAATTTTGAAAAACCTGTATAGTGAAGGCATTTCTCTGTAGCATCTGCTGTAGACAAAATGAAGAGCATTATCTGAACATTATAGAGAATAAGGTGTGGCTTGCAGTTTTATAACAACCTTCTTCCTCTTCATGATAATGTTTATATTGGCTTTATAATAACATACATACATTCAGGTACCTGTTCTAAATGAAAGTAATTTTAGGAAATGCAAAGAGATACACAGTTGGTTAACACAAGTAGATACAGTCTAATTAAACAAAACACAAAGCAGAACCGGGGACAAAAAGCCTTATTTTTGAGAGACAGGTCTTTCCCTCAGGAATAGACTGCTGTCTACATTTTATTTGTCAAAAATGTGTCACATGGCTATCTCAAACTACAAATGATCTCACTGAACAGAAGTTCAGTTTTGTTAGTAAAAAAGTTAGGAATATATATATATTTATACACACACACACACACATATACACACATATACATATACACACATATACATATATGTATATATACAAATATATATTATATATAATTATATATATTTGTGTGTGTGTATATGTGTGTGTGTGTGTATATATATATCAGTGATTTTCAACTGGTGTGCCACAAGAATTTTTAAAATATGCAATATATGACTATTTATTTAATTGTCAAATAAAAAATGACAACAGCCAGCACAACAATAGCTGTCCAGTGTGAATGCCCTGTCGTGAAACAAATATATAGGTCACGTAATAGAGTTTCACCTTATTGGTCATGTCACATAATAAAGTTGCATCTGATTGGTTAATTCTTAGTACCAGAAACCCTTATACACAAGTATAGGCACCTGATTTTTTAAGAAGGTCACTTTGGAGCAAAGTGTAGGTAATTACTATTATTATTTTCTTCTAAAGCTATCAAAGTTATGCCATTTTTTTCAGATCTGCAAAAAAATATACTTTTTGTCGTTCCACAGAATTTTAGTAATTAGTTTATGTGTGCCATGAGATAAAAAAGGTTGAAAATCACTGATATATATGAAAAGAGTGAAAACGCTGCCACACTGCTTCTACAAGACATGGCCTCCAGGCTCATTGATCAGTGCGAGTCTGTGCTGGTCATCTCTTCCTTGTTGCCAGTGTGCACAGATACACAGACAACTGCGGGGATGGAGATTCAATTATCAATCTTCTGCAAAAAAGACGAGATATTGGAGTAGAGGAAGAAATTGGGGGGGGGGGGGGCACTATCTTTAACAACATCTAAGGAATAAAACAAAACAAAAACAACCTTTCATGGCAATCGTGCACTTGCTCTCAATAAATCAAAGTCAATTTAATTTCCAGAAATTTCCAAAAACATCTAAAACATGCTGGGTGGAGTGGGATTCACAGTGACGACTTGAAAGTGCAAGCAGCCCCAGACCTAGTAAAGGAAGCTTTCTCTGCGGCAAGGTGGTGTGCAGTTCTGTGCTCCATGTAGGACATGGCATTGCGTTTCCTAAACATATTTTATCAGCTCCGAACAGTGGCAGCCAGGAAGAAAAGGTGAAACTAGCAGGTTATCTTGAACCATTCATCAATCTGAAGTTTAACTATCTTACTTATATTTAAATATTACTTATATTGAAATAAATATTGATCTTTAAAGCCAATGGAGAGGGATTTAAGAATGACAAAGACTTTATTGAAAAAGAAACGTTTAAATCTTAAAACTGCTTAATTCCATATATTTCTGTTTTATTCTGTCTCTCACGCATGCTAACCTGACATATTTAAAACTTTTAAAATACTTATGGCTGTGAAGATCTGCCTGGGGTATACACCTGTATAAAAATCTGACAAGCCAGCATTTGACATTTAATTATTTCTTAGTTGATCAAAGCCTGAAGATTTCAACTTCTGATCATAGTCTCTAGTTTACTGATTATTTTTTATTTATTTTTTTTTTTACCATGGGCATTTCCTATTTTAATGATTTTACTCTGTTTTACAGGAGGGGTTCAAAATGGGACTAACTCTTGAAGGCACAGTATTTTGTCTCGACCCATTAGACAGCAGGTGCTGATGTCAAGTAAAGAGTTCCTGATTCGTGTTAAGTTTATTTTATCATATATATATCATTCATTACTACTTTATGACAGGTCTTATCTGTGTGCCAATATATTTTTTAATATCCTCACTTTATGAAAATTATTTCAGCAAAATTTCTCATACATTCACTGTTGATCTGTAACATTTTATTTTAAAAGTAAAGCATTCTTTTATGTTCATTTCTGTTTCTGTTGTAGAAGAACTTATAGTCAAAAGACAAATTATCCAAATATCAATCTTGTGTTTGAGTTCTAAATAGTTAGCATCTTGAAATTTGTGTTCATGCTCCAGGCTGCTAGTTTATTATTGATTTTCCAAAAGCCATACCTTAATGATACCTTTTAAAGTACTAAAGAGATATACCAATGCCAAACTCAATACTATATTCAAAGTAATAAACATGTTACCATTCATTAGACAGATATTATTTTATGTATGAAATGTTGTTTCATATCATTGAGAAAATGTAAACTTTGAATATAATGCTACCAGGTCATTTTTAGTAGGTGAAATAGCAAATATATAAATTCCTATAATAATTAAACCAAATGTATTTAGAGTATTAGTAAATGCAAGGTAATAATGTTAGTCATTATCATCAGTTACACTCTAAATAGTTTATTTATTTCATACATAAATATTGTGGAACAAATTAAAATTTGCTATTTACAAACATTTAAAATTTAATTTCTAATGAGATAAGTTACATTACTAAACATATAAACATCATTTGATCTTGTTTCCTGAAAAAACATTTGGAATGTATGTTGTCTATAGTTGTAGTGTCTGTTATTCATATTTACTTTACCAAATGTATTTTCGGTCTCAAAATAATGTGATGCCCCATTAGTTTTGATACTGTAAAATCTATGGCAACTATTCTTCATGAATCATCAATATTATTTAGCAAATTTAATTTTAGTTGTTGAAATTAGAATCTCCTTATTTTCCTACAAAATCAAGTTGCTGCTCAAGTTTAGTCTTTAACATGAATAATAATTTTTACTCAGTACAAAGTTTATGGTCAAAACTTGTAATTTGGTTCATCACAATTTAAGAAAAATAAATGAATGAGGTTAGAATTGGGGGTAGATCTCAAAAACAAAGTTCTGTTTTTTCTTCTACTCTTGGAAATTTTCTTCAAGCACTAAAGGTACATTTTCACTAGGAAAAGAAATCAAATAGCTTATGCAATATTACATTTGTATGTATCTCCATAATGTTCTGTGATACATAAAAGCCTTCTTGATTGTTTTCTGGTATCTGTTAAGTTGTACCTTAATTAGAAAGTAGTATATGTTTCATAAAGAAAATTCTTTATAATTTTGTTTGTCATATAGTATTTTGGAATTTGTATAATGAGGACGTTTAGAAGCCATATCAGTGGCTTTTTTTAACAGATAGAATTTGTATTTTTATTGTACTTTAAAAAGCTTTATGTAATAGGTATATATTTAGTGGCCATTTATTATCAATGGTAACAAAATAGAATACTTAAGATGGTATTTGCACATTTAAGATACATTACTTTACCAATTTTTAATGGTAATCAGGTAACAGTTCTGCTATTGGCATGATTAAACAGTTCGTATTGGTCATTAATTATGAAAATTTGTTTCACCAGTGCATTTTTATGAAGATCCAGTTGAAAATTGTATTTCTATGTAAACTCAATGATATGTTTGATTTTGCTGAGAATAAATGATTTTCATTAAATTAAACTGTATAATTTGTTTATTAAATAATCTCTAATTAAGACACATTCTGCAGCTAATTACATGCCAGATTTTTCTGGTCCTAGATTGGAGACGAAAGAAATAAAGAGAGAGAAAAATAAAAACAAAATGAAACAAAGAAAGAGCTTTAACTTCATTTCTTATAACCCACACACATTTTTAGCATTATGAGCAAATATCATTCAGTTGTAAAAACAATGGACTTGATCCTGCTGGTGAGAGAGGTCATAGTTTGGTTCTTTTACCAGAAGCATCTGGTGCAATAAAACTGTATTATGAAAATATATCTTTTCTTCAAAATTGAGTCTTTTTATCCTAGTAATAATACAAAGTGTGTCTTGGCTGATAGTCTTAAAAGGTTGACTTGATAATAGGATTGGAATTGTGGCTAATGGAATATCATGAAGAAATTGGAACCTATTCAAAACACAATGTAAAGTATTTTAAAGACACAGCACTCACATGCACTACCTCTGCACATCAATGAATAATTCATCAACCCATTGAATAAAATTTACTTATTACTCACTCTGTGTGAATAACATGTGTCATGTGGGTAAGAAAACATCTAGTAAGTTTGCTAATGGGCATTGTTAAATTGAAGATGGCAGGATTCCTAGCTTCAGTTAGTTTATTGTCAGAGAGGAAAATTAAAGCAAATATATGAATTAATAAATGAAAACCAATATGTATTAAAGTACTCTGTGGATCAAAAACTTCCCTGAGAATATTTATATTTAACTATTAATTTGGGTACTTAGCACTGGCCAGTATCCATAATGTTAGTCATCCAGTGTGACGCTTATCAAGATAGGCCAATGACAATACTTTTCTTTATCTCTTCTTGTTTCTTTTATTTTTCATTTAATTTTTTTCAAAAAGTTTTAGTCATACTATGAATTCCTTTTCAGATAGAATTTCCGATAGACTTTATGTTGTTGCATGTCTAAGTACTTTTTTTACTCTTTTAGATGTTACTTAACATAACCATGAAAAAACAGGCTGTTAATATTTTTCTGTTCCAGTGTTTCCATACATACTTCCAAATTCAATATTTATTCATGATTTTGAGTTTCAGCCTCTGTTAAATTACTTGAAGAATCTTGGACTCAATTCTGACAACTAAATCTCAGACTCCACCTAAAGTATACCCTTTGTAAGTCGTTGAGATGGGCACGGGTAATACAGGTGGGGCAAAAGGAGGTTTACAACCGGGAGTCTGCAATACAGAGTCTATTCTTGTATTATTATTTGTTAATGATTGTATTATTTCCCTTTACAATTGTAAGTCCACAAAACACAGAGTTTATTCTTGTGTTATTATTTAATGACTGTATCATTTTCCATGCAAACAACTGTAAACCTATTTTTGCCCCTCCTGTACTGTCCTCAGGCCCCTGTGTCCCATGCCGAAAGGGCCTGACAGGTGTCCTCTCCTGTGTCGATAACTTCAGCCACATTTCTCAATACCCATCTTACAAATTTTACACAAACCTTAATTCTTTCTTTCTTTCTTTCTTTCTTTCTTTCTTTCTTTCTTTCTTTCTTTCTTTTTTTTTTTTTGATATTTTGTTCAGATAGAGTGGGAGAGAGAGAGAAACATCAATGTGAAAGGGACACATTGAGTGGTTGCCACCTTCATGACCCAACCAGGGCCGGGGACAAACTGCAACCGAGGTACGTGCCCTTAGCGGGTACCAAACCCGGGTCTTTCTGGACCACAGGCTGACGCTCTAACCTCTGAGCCAAACCGGCCAGGGCCAAACCTTAATTCTTAAACACTTGTCCCATGTCCTGATATTATGTTGCTAAGGTCCAAATGTAACCCACTTCTAGAAATCCCTCCCTTAAAATATTTCTTGATTTCATCTAAAGTGAGATGGCTTTACTCTAGTGAGGAGACCTCCTCCTAAAATGATTTATGATTTTCCATTTTTTCACTTTCAAGTAAATTTTTATGAAATATGGATGTTACTTAAATAGCAAAAGGCATTACCACTCTCTGAATTCATTTCTTTTTATTCTAGTTCATGAATTCTAAAGCACACCATTTCAAGATCATAGTTAAATAACATACAAAAGATAGTATACTTAAAAAGAGGTTGGGTTAAAGGCTCATTTCAAACTTTTCTGACATTACATAATAGATTGAAATAGCTGAATTTCTTATTTCAGTATTACTAACATTGGGCTTTGTGTCACTTACCACCCTAACTTACAACTGAAAATTTGCAGAAACTTACCTTATTTACCTTAGCCAAGTTTTAGGTATTCATTCAGATGCACACTCAAAATTAATTGGGCCAAGCTTTTCCATCCAGTCTGCAAGCAATTCTATCTACGGGCACTTTGGGACATGCATTAAGGCTTTTCAATGGTGTTGCTCTCATTAAAGGGAAGCCGACTGGAAGCAGTAGTTATCTCATACTATCAACTTATTAATGTGTTTTGCAAAACTCCATAAAATATTGTCTTGTAAACATCTTTTCAAACTATTTTAATATCTTTTTTAAAACCTTTCTATTTATTATCCAAAAATCTCGAGGGGAGCATTATCTTGACATTTTTGTATACTCTCTGGTGCCAAGCACAACACTTGATCCATAAGCACTCAGTGAAAGGTTGAACGATTCCCTAGCATGCTTCTTGCTAATGATGTGAACTGAAACTTCTTATGCTCTCCATGAAAGAAAAGAACAACATGCTTCCAGTAAATGTTGGAAGATGACAGCTTTTTACTCTCTGACCAAATCTTTACCATTATTTTAACTTTTATCGCAGCAATAATTTGCTAAATAAAGACCTTAACATACCGTAAGACATCTATCTATCAGCCACCATAGAATCATAGACTAAGGAAATCCGTCTCAACTGCAGGAAGAAAAACAAAAGATTATTGAACTTTAAGGAGGCTGTGAAGATTCAACGATGAATGTTGGGTAGTTAAGGGACATTTCCTGTGCTCAAAGGAGTGAAGAACTCTACATGTTCAGCATGTACACTAAGGGATGGTTGCTAAAGACTTAAATTGTATCTTTCCTTGAATCTCATATTATAGTTACACGGTTCGCATTGGTTTTAAATACTTTTAAGTTTCTTTATTTGTCCTTAACTTTTTATTGTCCTCTTACTTCAAATGACATTTTACAAGAACATGTTGGGGCCCTTCCCAGTTGACTACTTCCTCCCCTCTGTCTGGCCAGGCTGCTAGGTTCTAGTCTGTTCCAAAGGTCACTTGTTCCAGTTGAAATAGCTGTCTGGATGGCCTGGAAGTAATCCAGATGCTGGTCTTTCCTGCAAAGAAAGCAAAGAAAGATGTTTGTGTCTTGGCTACATTTTGAAAGAAAAAAAAAAAAAAAGAACTTTATGGCTAAGTCGAGTAATACTTGAAAAAAATTAATGTAATTTGAAAGCAATTTAAAATTATTATTTTTTAGTGCTTTGTGTCATTTTGTTTTTTAAAAATACTTTTTAACATTAGTTGTTTACAAAATCACTAAATAATTGGTTTAAATAGCTAAGAATATATAAGAAGTATATGCAGAATGATTTTGACAGTTGGTATATATTCATTTCACACACACACACACACACACACACACACACACACACACACACACACCATGTAGTTATTTATTTTATTTTTACTACCTGCTTTAATTGAAAAGAAAACGTATACTGGACAGTACAGAGAATAAGAGGAGAGAGGTAGTGAAGGGATAATCATAAGTATTCAGAGATATCAACTATCCCACACTTGGCAAACTGTGCACAGATATTTGACCTGTTCATTTTTCGGACAATTTGGACCATTTGCAGACTAAGAATAATAAGTATGATGCAATTATGTAAAAAGCTGTTTTGAAGATGATTGCTTTTTAAATTTCCCCTTGTTCTTTGGTACTGCCGACAACTTTCATCTTTTCTACATGAAAGGAATCATATAGGAAAATACCTGAAGATAAGCTGGCCACTTGTTTCATGACTTCCTGCCATCAATGGGAATTAGAAAAGCAAATCTTACTTTCTTAAGTCACTTAGGTTTGAAAATTTCTAAACCATACCTTAATTGAATTTTTAAGTAATTTTTTAAAAGATTACTTATATAAATTACATTTGCTTTAGAACATCTGAGTTTGGTCTAAAGGGAACCACTGAACTAAGATTTAAAACTTCATACTTTGATGTTACACTTAGGGTTACAGCTCTAGTCTGATCTTCGACTTCGGGAATGTCATGTAATAGGGTTCATGAAGTTCATGAACATTAGCTATTCTTGGCATAAAAGAGAAGAAAGTCCTCCAAATAAACCAAAGATTTTAAAAATTGTCATAGAAACCGCATATTTCATCTTTTATTTACATATTAGTTATAAATAAATATTGAATCATTGGCTTCTAGGTAAATAGTGCATCTAGCTGGCACTAGTCCTATAAAAGACGACAGTAGACATCACTAAACTGTCCCGGACTTTGTGTCTGTTTATTATCTCAAAACCTTCATAATGAAGTTGAACGCAAAGCAAAAGCATGAATCTAAGATTCTTTCCTTTCTTGACCTTTCCTACTCCCAGGGACACTTGGAAAGGCAGACCTCAGAGCATATTTGCACTGGAGACACGGGG